AATGATGATGATGATGATGATAATGATTATTATTCTTTTGTCTGGTCACAGGCGTCTAGCCCCGCGTGCACAGAGCTGGAAGTATCTGTGATGGACTGGCTGGGTAAGATGTTGCAACTGCCCAAGGAGTTCCTGTTCTCTGAAGAAGGGAAGGGAGGCGGTATTATACAGGTGAAGGATGCTCCTACATAGCAGTGTTGGGTAGTGAGTGGCTGACGGGTGTTCTTGTGTAGTTTATCGTCCTTATATTATATATCTTCCTTCCTTACATGGATATGCTGGTACTTCTATACATAAATTATTGATGGTCAAGGTCAAGGACATCTTTTTTCCTTCTTTTCTTTGTATATTATCGTTCAGTGGCACCTCTGATCTTTGGCACTTTCACCGGTATAACCTTTTCGTGTTGCAAGTGCCGTAAAACTCTCCCACCCAAAAAAGAGACAAATAAAAAAAAAAACTCTACAGGAAAGAGCAGGCACCGGTACCTCTCACCAGTATTCTCCGTTCTACTATGGGCGGTCTCATGACCAGCACCACTCCATGGGTACCGGTATTTGGAAGGTAAAGGCATCAAACATTTTTTAAAATCAGCATAACTGGGAAGGTGCCGACACCAAAGGTTTTTTTTTTTTTAGAGCGGTTGATATGCCCTTGGAACGAAACTGGGCAGGGAGGCGCCAAATATACACATAAACAAGCAAACGCACACAGACACACACTCGAACTCATGTGCATGCACGTGCACACTACCTCAACCACGAACCAACTTCAGCAGTAGAAACAACATTAACAGCAACAACAACATTAACATTAACAACAACAACAACAACAACAACAACAACATTAACAACAAAGACAACAACAACAACAGCAGCAGAAGCAGCAGCAGCAGCAAGCTGCATGGTTGGAGAACCTTTAAAACTCCTGCAAAAACCTGTTTCAAACACGTCTCCTTTGAAGATTCGAAACGGGGTCACACTTAACGTAACGTGCCTTGCTAGCTGGTATTCGAGAGAATTAATCTACACGAAACGTAATCCAAGAAAACAACAAATAGACAGCTTATTAGCAACCGAAATCGAGCTGTTTGACAATGTCAGAACATTCTCAATGGCAGAAAAAGTGGTTGGAAGTCTTGCACGTAATGTTTTCTACGTAGTTTCGATAATATTTACACAATTGGTGATTTATGTTTTAACCGGGTTCAGTTTAGCTGGTTTCATAGAAACTGGTCTGCCCACTCTTTGCCATCGGCTTTAATTGCTCTTCCATTTCGATGTAGACTATTTTTAAACTTAGTTCCTGATGTCCTACTGAGAAGTCATGAGTCGGAGGCCATGCTTGTGGCACGGACAGTTTTCACACACACACACAAAAAGTTAAGACTTGCACTTCTTGTCATGCGTTTCAAATATTATATTTCATAGTGTGAAGCATTTTATACAAATATTTAGTAGTGTAAATCTGAAATTACGTTTTCTAAATTTGCAGGGTACTGCAAGCGAGGCAACTCTTGTGGCCCTTCTCTCGGCAAGGACGACAATCATCAACAAACAAAGGGCAGAAAACCCAAACATGACTCAAGGGCAGATAATTGACAAACTTGTCGCTTACACATCAGAACAGGTAGGGGAAGTAAACAGGTGCATGTAAATGGAAGAGAGGGCGTGTATAGGAGTGTATATATGGCTGAATGTGGCGCTAGATTTAATTGTTACTGATGCAGACTCAGAGTCAGAG